AGAAAAGAAAATGCTTGAGTCATTTTATTCTCTACTTCCATCAAGCTTTATTCTTCCTTTTTTTTATCCATTCATGACTAAATCTGTAGTCTACGGGCACTGGGCCACATCCAAGAATTCGTGGGTTCGATCCCCGCCCGCCGAAGACTCCTCGTGTGACTGATGGTGACTGATGCTCGTTAAATCTGTCGAGTCGCAAAAGTCCTCCATGTTCCTATACCAAATTAATACCTCTGGTGGTACTGATCCAGGAGTTTCCTTGTCTTCTGGATTGAGTTCAAAATTACAAGGCTACGGATTTGAACATTAGTAGTCGTAGACCCAAAATTGGGTCAGCTGTTCAATGACGAATATAATATAAAATAAAGAAATACTTTCAACGTTTTACTCACGATCCATCACATTTTAATTTCTTACCCATGTTTTAACCATCATCGTTTTACCTTTTTCGGTAGTTCTATTTTATGCTTCAAAGATTTGTTAAATAAAGAGCATCATCCTTAACATCTTCGCATATCTACACGCGAATGGTTTATTATATTGTATATAACCGCTTTTACCCAAATTTATTCGCCTTTTATGTTATTACAACATACCGTTTTATGCAGTTTTAATCAATTTACACCTTTATCTGATTTTATTGACTTCTGAATGTCTTGCGCATCATGCATAGTTTTAACAATATGATGTATTTTGGCAAAACAAATATGCTTTATCTTATATTTGTTGGGGGAAAAGATATTATTAATAATTATTAATAGATATTTGTTTGAGGCAGCATGTCCTTTCTAAGACCTTGTGCCATTAAACCCCACATTCATTTCAATTCAATTTAAAAAGAGAGAAGTAGTACATAATTTCCGTCCCGCTAGAGTTGCGTAATGAGCTATTTTATTTTATTTCATAGCCGTCGTTGAACAGTCGACCCAATTTTATTGGTTTACGACTACTAATGTTCAACTTCCCAGCTTTGTAATTTTGACGAAGACAAGGGAACTACTGGATTGAGTATTGGGAGAAATTTTGCTTTCGTGGAGGACTTCTTTGATGGAACTAACCCCCATTTGATTTACATGGAGAGGAAAACCACGAGAACCTCCCACGGTTAGCTTGACAGCAAGAAGAATCTAACCCATGATCCGTCTACCGCTAAGGATATTTCACGTCATCACTGTGGTAGGTGCAAGCCGGATGCGGAATTCATATCAATTGGGATTCGAACCCGGTTTGCCTCATTGGAAGGCGAATGCTCTATCCCTGAGTCATCGCGGCTCATATGGCGACCATCTGAGAGACGTCTCAATCACAATTTTGATTCTCAGCAGAGGGGGCGATTCCCCGCGTTCTTAGCTCCATGACCTTTGTTCGATGTCGAGCACTTTAAGGTAGAACAGTTTAAAGAGGACCGTTATAACTTCAGCCATTTTGCCGGCGGGACAAAGAGGTCACCTACCTGCTTACTGACCACTGGCAGAGATGCTTTGGATACAGAAAATAATTTGTATTTTGTGCTGTTAAAAACTCCATAACTAATTTTTTTTTATCTAATTTCAAATTTTATAATTTTCCGGACTAAGATATAATGAACCATTTTATTACTTTTTTTTTCTTTTTTTATGAAGGATGTTACCCTGAGGTTGAAGTTTTAATTCTTAAACTATTTATAAATACACTCCCCATCCATTTGAGATATCTGTATAAAGTTTCCAGTAACCAGAATAAAATGTAAGTATTGAATGCTGTATTGCTTTAATTTATTAAAAGTGATGTGTTCTTAAGTATATTAAACATAGTGTTTACATAATTCAAAAAAATCACTAAATTTGGTTAATAAAAATTATTATTTCGCTAAACCACTAAAAAATTCTATTAAACAGTATGTTTTATAATATCACTTTTTCACTTGTATGAGAAATTATTCAATTCCTTCCATAAGTTCACACTCACCCTATTATCTTGTTCAAATTTTCAATCCTTCATAAAATACTTTTTATTCATCCACTCAACTTCAAATACATTTTCTTTTAAACTTGTAGTGGATGACACCTGATGTTAATACAGTTTTTTTTCAAATACTAATTCATTAATTAAACAGGGATGAGCAAAAAACGATATGGAATTTTCTGATTGGTTAAGAGTCAGCCATTGTTTTATATTTTACTATAAGCGATTCAGTTTTACACATATTTTAAAAATAACATCAGTGATAATTTCTAATTTATAGCTCTGCTTGAACAAAAGAAATATAGTTTCTTGAGGCACATGTAAATTTTTAATTATTTTGTATCCGCTGCGTCACATAAATTCAATAAAGAGCATTAGTTGGTAGCACGTGTTGTTCACGTCTCCAAATTTATACTTTCAAAGTTGTCTGATACCACGCGCTTTTTTTTTTCAATTCCTACTAATAGTTCACACTCTCCCTATATATACATTTCTGTTTATACTTGTAGTGGATGACACTTNTCCCCGTGTAGTAAAGTGACTGATGCATGTTAAATCTGTCGAGTCGCAAAAGTCCCCCATGTTCCCATAACAAATCAGAACCTCTGGGGGTACTGGAATGGAGATCGATCGTTTCCTGATTCAGGTCAAAATTACGATCTGTGGATGACTGAATGGGTCCGCCCTATAAACGGGTGCGACGAATGGTGTGGCAGAAATCGAATTCTTGTCCATAGATGGCGCCACTGAAAAACAAGAAACGTACACTCTGCCTTAAATTTGCTCGATTTCACCAAGTAGGCTTACCCGTGTGGCAAGTGACATTAGAAACAACATCAACAACAATATATATATATATATATACTAGCTGACCCGGCAAACGTTGTTTTGCCACATGAATTATTTCTATAGTATGAAAATATAGCTTATATATTNGTGCTTGTAGAATATATTAATTTTCACTTAAATGCAAACGTTTAGATATCAAATTGAAGGTAATTTAATGTAGAATTTAATAATAAATACAGTATTACAATATCTGTATTACAAAACAAGTTATGCAACTAATAGTCAGATCTATCTCAGATTTGCATTTTTTTAAAGTGATACTTACACAATCAATACTTAGTAGGATAACCCTTATTTTTTAAGACAGTTGCACACCGTCTTTTCATCGAGTGAACGAGCGTTTGGAGTTCATCTTTCGTAATCACATGGTGCCAAGAATCAATTATAGCTTCAATAAGTTGTCTTTTATTGATTGGACGTTTTTTTCGTACAAGAATTTTCAAGCGTCGCCACAAATTTTCAATTGGATTGAGATTAGGGCTGTTTCCTGGCCATGGTAATATATCTATGCCTTTATTTTGAAACCATGCTTTGCATACTTTTGCTGTGTGGCATGGAGCTGAATACTGCTGAAAAATAAATGGTGCGTTGTTGGGGAAGAGGTCCCTGATGGAAGGTATCAATTTTGGTTTCAGGGCAGTTTCGATGTATTTTTTGGCATTCAGGATGCCATCAATCACTTGAATTCGGCCCACTGCATCTGCAGACATATATGCCCAAATCTTAACATTTGTTTGATTTTTTGTAGTTGCTTCAATGCAATCAAGATGAAGTGCTTCACCTGCTCTACGTCTCACTTATTTTCTACCATCACTACCAAAGAGCGATATTTTACTCTCATCACTCCAGATTACTTGCTACCATTGATTTTCCGACCATTTAATGTGTTCTTTTGCCCTCTTAACTCGTTTTTCGCGTTGCTTTTGAATTAAATATGTTTTTTTCCTTGGAATTCTAGCTTGTAGTTCAAATCCTGATAACATTCTTCTTATTGTTCTTGAACTTACTGCAATACCCGGTGCATTCATTTCACATCTAATGGCATCTGATGAAATATTTCTACCTTGAAGGCATAGCCGTTTCATTTATCTATCGATAGTAGCACTTGTGCACTTTTTTTTGGCCTGATTTGGCTTCCTGAATGCCAAAAAATACATCGAAACTGTCCTGACACCAAAATTGATACCTTCCATCAGGGATCTCTTCCCCAACAACGCGCCATTTATTTTTCAGCAGGATTCAGCTCCATGCCACACAGCAAAAGTATGCAAAGCACGGTTTCAAAATAAAGGCATAGATATATTACCATGGCCAGGAAACAGCCCTGATCTCAATCCAATTGAAAATTTGTGGCGACGTTTGAAAATTCTTGTACGAAAAAAACGTCCATCCAATAAAAGACAACTAAGTGAAGCTATAATTGATTCTTGGCACCATGTGATTACGAAAGATGAACTCCAAACACTCGTTCACTCGATGAAAAGACGCTGTGAAGCTGTCTTAAAAAATAAGGGTTATCCTACTAAGTATTGATTGTGTAAGTATCACTTTAAAAAAATGCAAATCTAAGATAGATCTTACTATTAGTTGCATAACTTTTTTTGTAATACAGATATTGTAATACTGTATTTATTATTAAATTCTACATTAAATTACCTTCAATTTGATATATAAACGTTTGTATTTAAGTGAAAATTAATATATTCTACAAGCACACAAAGTTGAAAAACATGAAACTTTCAAAAAGTGTCCACACTTTTGGCCACCACTATATATATATATATATATATATATATCTTGTTCAAATTTTCAATCTTTAAATAAATAAATACTTCAAATAAATAAATTTTTTTAACTTGTAGTGGATGACACTTGATGTTAACAAAGGTTTTTCAAATATTAATTAAGTTTAACTAATTTATTTTAGTTTTATATGGGAGAAAAAATTTTAATTATTTAATAAAAAGTGAAAAATAATTCTTTATTTACCAAAGTAGGAATTGACATTGAAACAATTTTTTATATTAATTGCTTATCAACTTACATCAGTGAGAAGTAACAAATAAGAAACAGAAATTAGAAATAAGGAAAAGTTTGAAATTATATCGACTGCCTTTCATTAAGGAAGAAAGAAAAAAAAAAGTCATCAAAATCACCAAAATTGCCATGAAGCGTATATATCCTCATGCATCCTTTATGCAACAAACAAATAAGGAATTTTCTCAAGAGTGTCAAGAAATTGTATGTGTGCAATGAATACGCCATTCCCCAACTGTAAAAGCCTGAAATGGTTAACTTTTGTGCTTATTTTATTCAGTTTTAATCAAAATACTATTGGTCATAATCTCGCCAATAGATGTACATTATTTAGTGAAATTGGAACGAAAAATATTTGTAATAGAACTGAATATCTTACCATAGATGTGTTTCCAGAAAATGATTTTAATGAAGCACCGTTTAATTCTCAGTTATTCAGCAACTTTTTAAACATTAACATAAGTAATCAATGTAAGGATGGGATAATTATGTATTTTAAGGAGGTTATAAATTTAAAGCCATGGGCCCTAGAAAGTAAGTGTATATTTTTACTTCGATTTAATGCAGAGCTTTTTCTTAAATAGTGTTGAAAAACATTTCATGTTATTATATTTTTTTAAATAATTATAATTTTTTAAGGATTATTGTTTTTTTAATGAAATTTTTAATTTAGAGCCATTTAAAAAGTAAATACATAATATTGACGTCTATTAATTAAAAACTACAATCGTAACAAAGGAAATAAATTTTAGAAGTAATCTTCGCCCCCGACTTCAAAACGCTCACCAACCCCGCAAATATTACTGCACAATTTTGTACGACTCAGGTTGCGAAATTACAATAGTATCATAAAAAATAAAGATTAATGAAAAGAAAAGAAGAAAAATTTTAAAAAATAAAACACTTTCAAAAAATATTTTTAAAAAAATATATTAAAAAGCCAAAAAACAAAAAAAATTCAAGATAATCTCTTCATTAGCTCAGTAGATTTTATCAGCAAAAAAGGAGTGCTTTCTAATATTGTATCAATATAGACAAAGCAAAATATATCATAACAATAGTGTGAGGAGCATTCAAAAAATAGAAACAAAATATAACACATTACGTAAAAAATATATGAGCAAAAAAAAAAAAAAGAAAAGAAAATGAAATGTAAAGAGAAAACAGAACAAATTACAAAACGAAATCTATAAGGCCAGTAGCGAAGTCAAATAAACTTACATCTACCGGTATACTTCAAGAATGATTTAAAACATTTTCGTAATTGCCAGATAACAAAATATGAAAAAATAAGCACAAATGGAGTTAAAAGTGTAAATAGAGGGGGGATTTCGTTTTATGGAGCGTTCTTACTGCAATACTAAAGCACATTTGATTTGTTAGTTAAAAAGAATTAGCCCAAAAATGGATGTGTGTAAGGTAATAATATTTACTAGATAAGTTAACAAAGCATATAATCAATGAGTTTGATTTTAATTTGTTTTAAAGATATTTATTTCAAGGATAAATAAACGCAACTAGATATTCGTTAATTTCCATTCATTTCATTAAAAATGGTTTTTTTAAATACTTGTTTTTAGAAACATTAGAATTCCAAATAATTCGTTTATTCATAATAAAATAAAAACTAATTAATTATCATATAAATCAACAAAGTTGATATTTTCTTCTTTTTCAAAACCCAAATTCAAAAAATCGAAGATATTATCATCATGATTACGAATCAAGATTAACTCCTCGGCGTAAATATTATTTAATAAAATTGTATAATCTCGAAAATTAAAAATATTTTTTCAAATCTGAAAATCGTCATCAATAAATCTAATAACAAATTTAATCCTAACAGCATAATTTTTTTCTTCATAATAGTGTAAAAATAAGTTCACTAAAGAGATGAAAAATTAGATCCTTGTGGTTTTTCTATGCTTATGATCCATATATAAAAAGATTAATTTTGATTTTACCTATATCTATAATATTAGTTTTCTAGCTAAA